AAACAACAGGTTTTCTTACTTTTATTGTATGCTCAGATGAGCTGTGCACTGATTGGTTGGTTTACAATGAGCAAAGCTGCTGATCAAAGATGCATCATAGCAACAAGCACTCACTCACTGAAACATCAAATTGTTGATATGGTAGGGTGACTGTTAGGTTTATTCAACGATGATTATAAAGTTAATGTGTGTGCATATGAAACATTGAAGTCCTGCTTCCAGCCAGTTAGACTTTACAGGGTCATTTCAGGATCATTTCACTCTATGACCTGCCTCCAGCCAGTTGGTCATAAAGCAGAGTCATGCTGTTTTAGGACCTGCATCCAGCTAGATAATCATTACAGGGTCTTCTGTCCTAAGACCCACCCATTTGCTTATGATCTGTTAATAAAAGACTCTGCTGTTCATGGTGGGGGGGGAGAAAGGTGCTGAAATGTGAGCAGGCAGCCTTTCTCCTCCTGCAGGAAGCTGTGTTTGAAAATCCCTTGGTGTGTCAGATTAATTTTTTGTCCTATCTGAACTCACAATTTTTTTAAGCTAACAGTGACCAGACATCCTCTTTTTCCCGGAGATGTCCTACTTTTCATATCTAAAGAAATGTCCTGGGGAAATTTTAAACTCATTCGGGATTTTGGTCGACTACAGTGCAGCACGTACTCGAAACACACCGGGCACTCACACATAGCTGTGAGCTCCGGTGCGAGTGCCCAGGTCGGGTTAGGTCGCTTTGTCCCCGGCTGGCTCCCTGCCCCCTCTTATCCCATTTCATGTCTGACTGCTTTCAAGATCAATTAGAAAAAGGCCACTTGAGCCAAAAAATAATCTTAAAAAAATAACGCTGATTCTCAATTAGGCTCATCTAAATCACAAGAAAATCATTTTAATCAACGCCATTTTTTATCTGTCCAGCTAATCTTTTTTTTTTTTTTGAAAGAACTTCAATTATTTTTCTATTTCCAGGTTTTAAAATAAAGAAAAACTTTCAACATCATGGTTACATCTATTTCTGGGATGTTGATATTTATGTAAAATAAATCAAAAAAGCATAATTTAAAACCTTTCAAGAAAACAAAATCACACTTTCAGAGTCCATCTACATCGATCTACACTGAAGAACACTTAAACATTTATTGTACAAGTTAAACATACAGTAACTTGTACAATGAATAGTTACTCTGGAACATAAGCTGTCTCAATATAAGTTGTGAACTCTAAGTTTATGTTCTTGCAAGAGATTCAGTTACTTTTGCCCATAAGTTACCAAATTGAAGAAACCGTCTTTTGTTGTCTGATGCAGGTGATTTTACCCCTAAACTGTTAAGTAATTTGTGCCTTAATATATTTTGGAAGGATGTGAGATTGGGTGTTTTTTGCATGATCGTTTGTCCTGAACATACTTCAGATCACTGAATATGTTGTTGCGTTTTCTAATCTGTAGTTGTGTTTAAAGATTTGTTGATGTGGTTTGCACTTCAGGGCCACCGTAAAAAAAAAAATAATAATAATAATTTAAAGCAATGCTCAGTTTACATTTTCAGAGATGCTAATCCCTTTTTGGTAAATAATGTTAAATCTAAATCTTTAACAAGGATTGTAATCTGTAGATTCGGAAAATTGGCTACCCACTTTCGAAAGTTGCTATACTACAAAAGTTGCTATACTACAATAACCAGTATTTTGGTTTAAGTGACCAATCTGTATAGGTTTACCCTTTTACCAATATGGATTGGGTAAAAACACTAACAAATTATATTTGTTGTCTTAACCAAAAGATTTGGTTGGACACATAACTTCGAACCAGAATAAAACCAAAAACTTTGGAAAATCTATTATTTTTGAATAAAAAGTACTAACACATTTCATTTTGCTCATCATTGCTCAATTTGCAAAAGCACTTTCACTGTCTGCTTGAGCTTATGTCACTAAAATGACAGAAAAAAGTGTACCTTAAAAGATTGTTATTTTCAAAGACAATTTACACGCAAAACCTCACAAAATATGTTATACACATCAATAATGAACATTTAAAAGGGACTTAAAAAAAAACAAATGAACAAAAAAAAAAAAAAATGCAAACATCACAGATCATATTGCTACTTATAGTTATGCACTCCACCAGTCAATGGTGTCATGTTCACATGAAGCTTTGAAATTAGTTATTCGAGGCCACAAGGTTAAATGCCTCATGAGGCTTCATCTCACCATCAATATGAATAAGCCACAGAGCACAGAGCTGGAAATTAACCAGTGTTTTATTCATTTTGGACTTAAATGAATTTATAGCTACAAATCTATGACATACATGGATTCTTGGACGATTTAAAATTATAATCAATAAAAAAAAAAACTCAACTACAGAAATAGATTGACCTAAACACCATAGATTTACAGCCTTAAAAGGAGTTTTCAATCATTCTTTTAATTTTTACTCCTACCAAGCAGCAACCAGCGGTTTCTACTTTTTATTAGCTCAGTTTATTTTACATTTTCAGTTCTCATCTTTGGAAAAACAAATATCGAAGACCTATTTTTATTTAATTTTTTTACCTGGACAAGAACCAAACATTAATCCCAAAGATCAGCCCAATCCAAATTATTCGATTAACATATTTACAGCACCATAATGGCAGCTCCACATCGCTTGCAACCAGAGTATTAAGGCACAAATAACAACACTTAGATACAAAAATGGGCATGAATTAGAAAAAGGATTTCCATGTTTCTTTGAAACATGGAAATGGTAACCAATGCATGCAAATGGTAACCGATGAGTTTGCTTGGAAAACATTTGCATGTTTTCCAAGCAATACAAGGCCTTGTCTATATAAGTCTATATAAGGAACTCACTCAGTCTATATACAGTAAGACTCAAACTCACTGCAGATCCAGACATTTGAATTGAGAAAGCTTCCTGGAGAGGTGGCGAAACGTCTTCAAATCTTGGAAACCAAGTCCAGTGGATATTTTTTTTTACTTTTACGGAATGACTATGACCTGGATGACTGAGAATCTTCATCAGCTTAACTGCCATTGCATTCCTAAAAACAAACAAATAGAATATTTGTTCATCAAGAAAAAGTAAATGAGATCTGATGTATGATGGAAAATTTGGACATCATAAAAGCATTTTCACTGTAATTAGTTATTTTGCAAGTAATACTAAAATGTGTATAATATATCTTTAATTTGCATTCAAATCCTGGTTTGACTAACCCCAATAAAAAAGCAAATGATTTAATGGAAATGCCATTCTCCAAACTTCTCATACTCCATTTTAATATCATTCTAGTATTTTTGGATAACCAGACAACACAAGAATATGTGTGTTAAATGACCTAATTGCCCATGTTTTCTCAAACACCATACACTTAATGGGTCCTTAACAAAATCAGAAATTCTAAGACGGGTAAAAAAATATACCTTACTTTCAATGTGCAATCAGATTCCTTTCCATAAAAGATCTGTCTATTCTCTATTCATAATCTATTCATCAATCTGTCCTCATGTGGTCTGGCAGCAGTGTGTCACAGTGAGCTTGTCGCAGATATTTTTGATATATGCCCAATTTTGAAGCGTGGTCTGTGCTATGTTATTCGATGGCACAAGTCAAGAGGGACAATCACAAACTAGGTGCTGTCTAGACACGGCCGAGGCGGTGAGGAAGTGGAAAAACACAAGTTTGTGAGACAACGGAGGGAGATGCGTGCGGAAAAGAGCTGGGATCCAGGTGGAAAAGGGTCCCAGCGTTCTTGCCCACCTCGTCCTTCTAACTCGTCCAACTTCACAAGTCCTTTTCCACAATGGTGGTCATACAAACAAAACAAGCCAGCAAGGTACCAAACAGGAAATACGCATAGTGTAGAGCAGATGTAGATTTGACCAATCAGAGGCCTCCTGTCTGTCTGTGGTCACCTACAATTTTGTCTGCAGTAGGGATGGGGGCATATTTGTGTTCACTTCAACACACACGCAGATGACCTAGTTTCTAAGCAATTAGATCCAGCAGTGTTTAAACAATTAAACAAACGGACATTGGAACATAACTTTATTACAGTATATACAGAGGTACTACGAGCAAGGTGAAGTGAAACAGAGATTTCTGGCCCAGAGGGAAAACAACAGTACAATTGCACTTAGATAACCTCTGGAGAATGAAAAAGACACCTTACTGACAGATAGAGGGGAGATCAATCATACATTTTAGGTATTTTATCAAAAATTGTATTTATCACAGGGTACAGGATATTTAGAAGATATAGGGAGCGTTTGATTTTAAAGGCTGCATCCTCCAGGGACCCAGTCTATCTGGACTGGATCCTTCAAGGTCCAAAAATGCAAAGGCTAAAAAAGGCTAAAATTCATAGCAATGTGGAAGCTATCGACTCGTGTCTCTAATAAATGTAGATGTTAGAATATTGGCCATGACACTGGCCTTAAGACTGGGATCATCATCTCAGTCTTCAGACCAAGTTGCTTTCATTCAAGGTAGGTAATGAGCAGATAATTTTCCGGGTTACTTCATTTAATCTCGCAAATAAGGAATAGCGCTGAACCTGTGGTCGCTTTCTCTCTCGATGCTAAGAAAGTGTTTGATACAGTGGAATAGAAATATTTGTTCAGGACACTATCTAGGTTCGATTTAAGCTCCTCATTTAGAAAATGATATGTTTTCTTCCATTTTCCAAACCCCTTGTCCCAGTTCCCTTAGAGGGGGGGGCTCTATTTTCCCCACTGTTGGCATAGCTCTGGATATAGTTACAGGGTTTTTCAACATTATTTAAACTTTATTCCAAAATTTTCAAGTATTTTTAATGAATAAGAATAAATGCTCGAGGAGTTATTATTATTATACCATGAAACATGGTTAAATGTCTTTTCTTACTAACAGCACTATTTGGACAGTACTTATTATTGCTAGTGCTGACACATTTCTGCTATATTCTGATCGAGCCCTAAATTCATGAGAAAGGTCTCCAAGTAATCCCTCTTTTCTTCTACAGGTTTCGTTGGAGCAGCATTATTCCAAACTCTGCACAACAATGCTGCCAGCTATGTCTTCGTCTTTGGAGAACAGTCAAACTGGGAGATTGTTGGCCATCCTAGAGGAGTGGGACAAATCATCTGACCAACACACAGACAACACTAAGATGTACTTCCTGCTTTTGTTCATCAAGTTTGGACTGGAAACAGTAGTTTTATATGCATGCAACCCCAAAAAGTATAAATACTTCCCGAGTGTCTTTGGCCTGTCTATTGTCCTGGTTGATTTTCTTCTTGCAAGTTTAATGGGAGCTGCCTTGGTCCTTGGAGCTGAGAAGTCTCTAGCCTCACCCTGCTTCCTCTTGGCCAATGCCTCAACAGCATATGGAGCTCTGCCACTCCCCATTATGCTCCTGGGCTTTGTGGACTACTGCTTAGAGGACATATTAATGAGCAACCATTCAGTTTTCTGGAAAACACTCAGGAATGTCATCCTGACACTGCTGGTTTGGGTAGTTGCTGTTAATTACTCCTTTCATTCCAGTTATGTTGAGCCTGTGGAACTGGAATCTGTGACGCGGAAAGTGCTTGTCTGTGAAGTGACAGAGTCAAGCCTAATCTCAGCCTTTATTTTGGGACTTTTCACTTTGAGCCTCCTAACGATGGTGCCATTTTGTTTAAGAGCACCTCAGTGGGGGAGAGAAGTTGACGAGCCGCTTGAAGCTCGGGAGAAACAGAGGAACGTGGGAAGTGACCTGTTCTTAATATCAATCTGGAATCCCAAACCGGTAATAAATGCCAGACTAGAGGAACATCTGGATAACAGGCTAATGAACCTTTCATTATGGTTAACAAAACTGCTGAGATTTTTATTTTTCTGGACGCCACATCTGGTGATGTCTGCTTGTTGTATGATCTTTGGCTTTGGACTACCTGCATACCTCGGATTCAACCTTCTGTGGCTTGAGTGCTCCAACGGCCTCCTGGTTGGTTTGGTGTTTTGGGCAAAGTGCAACACAAAGGGGGCTTACAGCAGTTTACCAGAGAACGTTTGCTTATGGCACGTCTACTGGGATTTGAGCAGAGATATACAGCCTGTTCTGCCTGTGGCTGTGCTTAATCCCTCATGTAAAAAGAAAAACATTTCCCTTAACGTGTAGAAACAGAACAACAAGAACCCCTAATGTTGTAGATTACATAAAGATAATCTCGGGTAAGAATTAGACAGTGATCTAAATCTGTGGCCGATGCTTCAGTCTTCTCATAGTTGAATGTTTTTAATAGCGCCGTCATATTTAAGCTATTTTACGATTTAGCAGTGTAATGCCCATGAAATGTCACAAGCCAGTGTCCTGAAGGGGGCAGCAATGCACCCACAGGCACCCAGCCTACATAAAAAGCAGTGATGGGCAGTAGCGCCGCTACATGTAGCAAAGCTATTAGTTTAACTACATGTTCCAGTAGCTTGACCGTAGCGTTGCTGCTTTATTTATCAAGTAACTTTCCTGTAGTGACGTTATTGCTTTGATCAAGTAGCAACGTAGCGTCCACAAACGCTACAAAATCCAGGGCATAACTAAGAAATGAAACCAGGTTTTCTATTTTGAAACAACAATCAGAGTTATTCGTTGGACATTCACGCATGAGCCTCTATTCTGCCTCTTCTGTGTGTATCTACCAAAGCATGCGCATGCGTACTGCAGTGGAACTCAAAGAATGACACACACAGACACACAGAGCCACACACACAGGATGGAGGTGGAGACAGGAGCAGAGCGAGAAGAGCAGACAACTGTTGCTACCACACTGTGGCCTTATCTTCAGAGATTATGAAACTTGTTGAATCCTCAGACAAAAAAATAAGTGTACAGATGTCTGCTTTGCAATAAAAAAAAGAAAAACAAAACTGTTGTCAACGTCCAAGACATCCAAAACCAACCTAAGAACTCACATTCAGGGGAATCACTAATTTCCCTCCTGCAGTATGCAAGTAAAAATATCTAGTGTCAGTGTAAATCCCAACTCACTTTAACCAAATGCTGTATGTAAATTAGTAAAACGAAAGCTACCCACCTACCAACAAGCAGTGTGTGATGGAAAGGGACTAGTCAAGTGGCTAAGCAGAAGTGTTTAAAAAAAAAAAGCATGAGTGATTTGCAAGGTTCTTGGCCATAGAGAGCTCAAGTGGCCAAGATTAGCCTTTTGTTTTACATAGCCAAACACTAATTAAAACAGTCAACTACAGTATATTTTTTGAAATAAAAATGTGAAAAATATATCAGCTTTAACTTTATTGGCACCTTTAATTTCCAGATAGTTCAATTGATGTGTGCCACTAAGATACTCTAATTAGAGAGCAGTAGTGAAACTTCCATATTGTATTTTCATGGCCTAGTTTACCTGACAGGATGTTTACATAAATCTGTTTTTAGGCTTTGCACAGATAAGACTTTTTATTTATGGAGGAACAGCTCTACCGTATATAAAATAAATACATAAATAAATAAATGCTCAATAAATAAATAAATAAGCATTCAATTAATTGCCCCCAAAAATACAATGAATAAATATGTAGGTAGAAATTAAATTATGCGGTGAGACACAAATATATGTATCACTTAATTAGCTTCTTTATTTTTTCACTTTCTTTTGTAAACAGTTTCATTTGTTACTTGAATCGACTGTTGAATTGAGGTCTGAAGAAGTTTTCTCTAAGGGAAACCCTAAAGACATAAGATGCCTTTTGTAGGGTTTTGTTTTCCCTAGAGATGTCCATTGAATGCAAACTCATAGCCATGTCTCGATGTGTAGAACACTACACAGTACCTTTAATTTGCTTCTAATAACAGAAGATTGTTTACTAGTTTGTCTACTAGTAATTACTTCAGTTTTTATTTTAATATGCTGATCATAAAGCAATGTTTACACTGTGATATGTCATTGGCTGATCTTTAATAAATGTTTTAACTAGTGTGTCAGACTCATTTTGAATTGATATTAGGTTAGTACAACGTTAAGTAGCTTCTGATGTAGTTAAGCTACTGTTAACACATAAGTGTAACTTAGCTTGCTATAATTCTTTAGGTGGTAGCTTTTGTGTAGTGAAACTTAATTTATTGTTGAGTAACTGATAGCTTAGCTCTCTACACTGGACAAGTAGCTTGCCCAACACTGATAAAAAGCATAAGAAGATTTCTATAAGCAGTTCCACCATCAGCTGATCATATGTGCCAAACTACCGTTGGCTCCCGATCCATGGTCTGACCCAGTCCCTTCGCTGGTGTTGACCTCTTCTTCTTCTGGCTCTATTAGCACACAACTGGCAGAGTCAAACTGATGAGATCATGCTGATGTTGGAGGACAGCTAGTGTATGTATTCTTGTCTCAGCCTTGCTTAATCCTCCATCTCTTGTGGAACGTCTGCTCACCATAAAGTCTGGACAAGTACTGACGGTTTCCTCCTGTGAACCCCCTTTTATACCAAAACACTGCCAAAACGCCATTATACAGTACCTGTAGGTTAGAAACACATTCAGCTGGAACACGTCAAATACACCCGCATATGTTGATATGCGTTTGAGATAAGTTCTTGATAAGTTATGCATAGGTTATGCACACGTTACTCATAGGTTTTTGATAAGCTAGACAACACGACTTATGAGTAACTTACAATTAACATATTTCAACAATCACATAACTTACCTGTAACTTATGGCCCAAGTATGAGCATATGCTGGCATACGTCAAAAAATGTTGAAAATGCTCATAATTTCTTGACACACTTGCTGTATTTCGACGTGTGTCAGCATCCTTCAGTGTGCTTATGACTTATACAAAACTGATCCATAACTTATCCAACATACGTAAGCGGTTTTGCCAAATTTTTCTGAACGTCGGCATACGCTGGCTAAATCGTAACGGTTTGGCAGAGCCATCAGGCTGGACTCTACAGTCACTAAGAGTCATGAGGTCAAAACGTGTCTTTAAAAAGGTGCCCATATGTTGGTTGTCAGAGGTTAAATTGTTTTTCTTACTTAGCCCAGCTTTGTATGGCTTGAAGACCAAGAATTCTGAAAGTGCATCTTGGACTAACAAATAAAGTTATTCCCTTCCATTAAACACAGAAACAATCTGGTGTTTTCTGTAATGTTTAGGAAATGTTCAGTCAGACTTCTGCATCTGTTGACAGGTATTTCATAAGAAATTTTATAAATTTTTTTAAACAATAATTCCAAATCAGTATTTTACGAAATTATCTTTTGGTAGATATATGGTATTATAATTTTTTCTGTTTAGTGTTATTCAAGTTACTAGTGGTACTATTGCTAGAAATTTTCTTCAGTGGGCGGGAATGTAAACTTTCAAGCACAACTGCATGTTTATTTTGTCTGTGCTGTGTTTAGGGCCACCCCCTACTTTTACAGCCCCAATTCATTGCAACAGGCCCTTAAATCTAGTAACCTAACTCTGCAGTGTTATTCACCTTTAAAGGTATAAGGGATTCTAAAGTTGTTTATTTAATGATGAAAGGTGTTTCATGTTAATTTTGCTGTACATTTTGCAGTACTGTACTTTATCAATCAGATTTATATCTGCAAAATCTCTTTTATACCTGCTCTCACGGTGTTGAGTATATTGATACTGCTGGCTGGATAACTTAGCTAAAGTGCTATATTCACGTACCAATAAATTTTCAATAAATTTTCCATATAAATGGAATTAGTTGACTTCCCTTTTGTTGAACCTGCTTTAAGACTTATACGTTTTATTTTAACATATACGTTATGAAAAGGGTGGTTGCCTCCTTTCTGAGGTTTTTCTTTGTTTTTTTTTGCATATTTGTCACAATTATGTCTGACAAAACATCAAACTAATTTATATATTAGTCAAAAACAACACAAGTAAATTAAAAATGCTGTTTTCAAATTAAGTGATTGAGACTTAACTTAAAAAATGACCTCTTATATTTGCGTGATCAATTATTTTAAGATTGGAGCAGACTTAAAAGAAAAGTGAGAAAATGTATGTCTTGAAATGAACTTTAAATGGAAATGGATTAAATTAAGTTCTGAATAAAAGCGTTAAACATTGAGCTATTATTACACAGACAACTGTGCATTAACAAAAACAACACTACCTGGCAAACAGATATAAAAAAAACATATTCTTGAAGGGGAAAAAATGCACAGCTGATTATTTTAAAGAGAGTGGTTTTGAAAGAAAAATAACCTGTCTATTTGAATCAACTTTCAATTAAGGTTTGTATTCTCAACTTTTAACAGTGCTTTTACTAATGTTGGTATCACAGTGTCAATGAGAAGAGCAATGAAAGCTACTATGGTAAATTAATAGCTGGGGGCTGTACTGTGTCGCATATGGGGGCTACTATATAAAGCTTCGAACTGAACAATAATTCTGATATTTTGAATTGAAAAAGCTTCCTAGATGGGAAGCGAAACATCTTCAAACTTGGAAACCAAGTCCAGTGGATTGTTTTCTAACTTTTTTGGAAGTGTCACATATGGTTTAATGAGAGAACCCCTTTTAGAAGGGTTTTAGAACTACTTTCTTTACAAAAATTCTTTAGCCATGAACTAAAATATTGATAAGATACCAAGTCAGTACTGCATGATAGTGGATCCACTCTTGTATGCACTGCTGCTATTTTGACAAAACAGCTCTGTCTTTTAGCTTAAACTATGAAACGTAAATAATATAAAGTAATAGTATTATTAAATACAGGGTCAATACCAGAACAGTATTAACTTTTTATAGGACTGTTACCAAAATAGGTAATATCCCAAACCTCTAAACAGATTAAATAGAGTGTAAGATAGTTCACAAGAGGCTATTAAGGGAACACTTGCACTATAGTGCCCCCTGATGGTTATATAAGGTAACAAACGTAGATTTCAGGCAGAAACTCATAAAAGAATATGGCTGTCCATTTCTTTAAATCTAGACATAATCTTTCCAGATAACTTCACGGTTTCAAGCACAAATTATTTAAACATAAGGCTGCTAAAAGCTAAAAAAAAAAAAAAAAAAAACACCAGCTGCATTGGAAATCTGAATCCTTCATAATTACAACTATGCAAGAAAAACACGTTTGGGATAATAACTGCTTCATTCTGGAGCTAGAAAAAATTAAATCAGCAGTGCTTACCTTAAAGCAGCTTGTCAAAAAGAAACTTTTTCTTCTTGTATGTTTTGCATCTGATTGCATGAACACAATAAATTTCATCAGGCTGTGTACACAAAAATTTTTGAACAGACGATACCTAAAAGATGTAATATTATACCTTTTCAGTTAGAGTGCAAGATTGCTTTAAATAGGTGAAAGGAAAAGAAGGTTTTCAAAAAGCTTCCCAGGTACAAATCTGAAAGATGTGTCCTAAACATTCATTTGTGGAACCACATATTTCTCAATTTCCAGCTCTCCTGGAGGTCTGTGTCTAGCATATCACAGCCCATACTTCTTCCTGGGACAGCTTAAGCTCAGTCATAATAAATAGAGAGCATCAACAAAGATAAATAATGCATAAATAAAGAAGCTACTCAAAACCAATAACATCTCACATACTGTACCTACTCCCAACTATCAAAAACATTTACCCATTGAATTTACATTGTTTTCCAATCTTCCAATTGCTCTAAATTAGTTAAAATTTGAGCTCATTTTAAATTCTTCAAGATAAACTTTAGTTCTCAAACATAAAACACATGCCAAACTGTGATACCACTGCATCATTTTATCAATTATAGTTTTCAACGAGGTGCTTTTTTTTCTTTTTGTACGTAGTAACTTAGTCTAGTTTCACTAACATATTCAAGGGTTTTTAACCAAATTATGTTTGATTCTGGGCTGAATTATATATTTTAAAATACTCTTATTTTGAATGGAAGTTGTGGTTAATTTATTATATATATGTGCAGTTTTCTGTCTGAGCATGATTCGCCCTTGATTCCCACTTTCGTTTGTTGTTCTAACACACAGCCAGTTGGGGATGTCCCTGGTTTTACTTACTGTGGGTAATACACCAAGATGTAATTTGTTTAATATCATGCATGGCACGAAAGGTTCACCTGCTTAAATCAGCATGTCAATGTCCTTCTGAAGTTTGCCAATGACCATTTGGAAGATCCACAGGAATCATGGAAGGAAGTCATCTGGTCAGATTAGATCAATTTTTGTCATATTACCTCTAACAGTGTTTGGAGAAAGAAGAATGATGAGTACCATCCCAAGAACTCCATCACTAATGTGAAGCATGGGGGTGATAACATCATGCTTTGGAAGTGTTTTTCTGCACATGGGACAGACAGGGCAACAGAACTGTATTAAGAGGATGGCCAGAGCCACGAATTGCAAGATTCTGGGGAACAACCTCCTTCAATCAGAGCATTGAAGATGGGTCGAGGCTCGGTCTTCCAACATGACAATGATCCGAAGCACACAGCCCACAAACCTGACTGATTTAGAGATCTGTGTTAAGAGGGCCCTGCTGCAGCGTGTGACCTCTGCAATTGCAATCAAAGACTCCTGTACCAAATATTAACATACATTTTCACAGGTTTTCAAGTATTTATTTGCAGAAGTAACCTGCAAAAAAATTGTTAAAAAATATCATACATTGTCATTTAGATTTCTTATTTGTCTTACAGTGGACATTCACCTTAGATGAAAATGTCCGACCTCTCTACGATTTCAAAGTGGGAGAATTTACAAATGATGTAAACATACTTGTTTTCCTCACTGTATGTATGCACAGACACACAGCTCTAACCTTTCTTTTCCTTCCTTATTCCTCTACAAGGTCCAGATAGCTGAAAAACGTTTCCCTATGTGTTGTACTTATAATGTAATTACAGTAAAATCCCTGCTACTGCCAATCTAGAGCAGGATGGGCAAAAATGGAAGTCTTTGCATTGCAACACATAACAAGCATAAAACAATGCACACACAAACTCCAATTTTTTTGTGTATTAAATAAAGTAGCGATAAGATTAACTTGGTTCATTTTACATACATTTTTATTTCACTGCAACTTTTCAAAAACATCTTCATCACTCAAAAAGTAGTTTTGGTAAATATCTTTTATTTTCATCATAAAACAAAAATTCCACAGCTAACTAAATTCAAAGAAAACTTCACAAGAAACTCACAAGCTGCTTTAAGTATTTATAAAGCTGTACCAAACCATGGTCAAAAAACGCTTGTCAGTAAAGCTGACAAAAGACTCTAAAAGGTTAGCAGGACACTCATTGCTAGCAAGAATCAAAAAAGGTTTAAATAATGAGTTCTATGTGAAATAATAGGGTTTCTTGACATTCACGCCATATTCAGAGAGGGCAAGTGTCAGGTCCTCCATCGTCAGAGTGTACTTTTTATCCTGGGGAAAAAAAAACAAAAATTATGACCAGCTTCTTCTATCACTGAAACTTCTATCACACCGACACATTAGATTTGAAGCGCTGTGTTGGGCCTTACCTTTGTCTTACTCCTGGAGCTCCCTGAAGCAGTTCCCTTCATTTTGCAGTACTGCAGTGCATCATTAGCAATGTCTGAGATAAACTTCTGAGATGCAAGGGAGATCAGGCGGATTCTGTAAAGGTAACAAAAATTATCAATCCAGTTTTTTCCCCAAAAATCTTTAGACTTATTTCCAAAAAAAAAAAAATTACAGCTCATCAAATCTTTACTCATTTTGTTGAGAATATATATTTGCAATTAGTTTGTTTTAAATCGCAAGTCAATCACAGAACAACACAGAGACATAGAAGCATGAACACACACTCAAACTTGAACATCGATCAACTTAATACTCGAATTTTTTGGACTTCGGAAGGAACCTTCATGAGGGTTACAAGTACTCTATTGAAAAAAGAAAATTCAATAAAAAGGGAAAAAAAACTTGGAAGAATTGCATGCTACAAAGCCTATATTATGTCTGGTTTTACTTTGATTGCAGAATACTCATGTAAAAACTACAAATCTTAAATAAGACTATTTTTTTCCCAACAGCAAGTCTCAAATCCCAAAAGGTATTCTTATTCACACTTTTCTACAGCCAGAAAACAGACTACTGAGAACAAACAGCAGATTTTTATATTTTGAATCAAGCTGGAAAAGACCTCTCACTGGACGTAGCCCAATTTCTAAAGGCAATACTTGTGAATTTAACTTACATTCTTGGATCAGAAGCCTCAAAGCCCGCCCTGTTTAGGTAATAGCCTGTAACAGCATCAGGAATCTGAAAGCAAATGCACAAAATCCAGATTAAATATATGCACTAGTAGAATTCAAAATATTCTCACATCCTAATCCTATTCTCACAGGGAGCATGAATAATAATCGCTACACCTCTATACTGTTATTTAGACCTTAATAATCACCCTCAGATTTAACTACTTTATGACTATGCTTATTCAGATATGATATTTTCATGTTAAAAGTGGGTTGTCTTACTGTTGGAGTGTAATCTTCCAGCTGCATGAGGAAATCCGCTAGAGGTGTGGTAGAGATGGCAGGTCTTATGTCCCCATTTGTGATTCCACTTGGAAGATAAACCCCATTGGAAACTGATGAGTCTGCGGAAGGTGTCACTGCAGGTGCTGAGGCTCCAGCTGGAAATTATAGGGGTTGAATTAATCTTTTATTTGCATTTTGCTAAAGTGATCTGAACTTTTTCAAGAGGATAAGAATTAGTCTTTTTTTTTTCAATATATTAATGTGTTGCCTCTGTTAATATAACTATCAGTTTGCTCAATTTTTTATGTTTCTTTTTTTTTTTACCAGTTTCACACATTTTCACATATATATGCATACATATATGTGTAAATTTATTTTTAAAGACTGATATGGGCTGTAAAATATCAATTCAATAAATTTTTTGTCTTGATGCACACAGGTTTCTTGCAAATTTACTTTTTACCATACTCTGTAAATGCATGCTGCAAAAAGATGGAGAAGTTAAATCAAATTTATTGATTTCAATTTATAAGACACAAGTTCAATTACATATTTGTAGCTGAAATCCATAAGCCTTGGTTTGAAATTTAAAACAGCATAAATGGTTAAAATTAAAAAACAAGTTTAAGCCTATTTAATGGAAAAGTTTTTCTTCCCTCCCTTTTTTCCCTAAAAAAACAAATTGAAATCACATGTGTGATGCTTTCATTTTTTAAAAGCCAAAAGAGTAATCTCAAAGGAGCACAACTATCCTTTTTTGTCGTCAAATCGGGACATTTTTCAAAACTAATGACAGATTTTTCACAACACAGATTGTGTTTTGTGAAATCTTTCTTTAGAAAAATAAGAAAACTGAAAGCCTTTTTTACTCCTCTAAAAGAGCCTGGCTAGAAGATAAAAAAAATCCTCTGAAATCCAAGGAAAAATTGGTTTTAACAAATCAAACATAGCTGTCACAATAGCCCCCAACTTTTAGAGTGGGTATAAAAAAAATTTGTTTAAGTTGTAATTATTTATTTTCCCTTTGAGATGAATTGAATAGATTATGTTAAAGTTTAAAAATTACAGTGTGAGCTTTCAAGATGATGAATCATTCTAAACAAAATACAATTAAAATGTTTTTATTGCAATGAAATGGCTCTTATCAAGAGCTAGATCAATATCATCTACAGGGTAGACTAAATCTATAATTTTTACTTGCAAAAAAACCTGAATATCGTTTTACTTGAAAACTTTAACAGTGTAAACAACTTTTTTTTTTTTTTGCACAAACATTTTAACTAAATATCATGTTTGTTATTTCAAAGGTGGGCGACGGTAAAGCAGAAATTAAATTCTTTATAAAGCAGAAGTTCACACTAACTTATGTAAATGCTAAAAAGACTCCACAGCTGATGCACATATTAGCAGAGAACAACAACACACATTAGCAGAAGTTACAAAACGTTACAATTACTTGTCACTGAAGGGATGCTGCTGGCGTTTGTCGTAGCGTTGTCATTTGCGATGCAGTTACTTGAAGTTGAAGAGGTTGTAGCAGGAACTCCAGTTGTAACAGACTGATTTATGTTGTCAATATTCATGTTGATGTTAGCTAACGTGCTAAACCTCGGTAAGCTAGCTCGAGAATGTGTCTTAAAAATATGAAAGAAGCAACTCCGCTATATTTACTGGACACACTAGTGTTTACCAGGGCATAAAATGGAAGAAAATGTATTTGGGAGAAATCAAAACGACATAATTTAGCTTTTAAATAGATGGATCTGCTGCTATCGACTAGCCAAAAGCTGAGGTCGTGCTACGGTCTCAGTCACGTGACCAGATAGAAAGACGTTTGCGTTTGTGGAGGATGCAAGTTTCTTCTTCTTCTTTTTATGCCAGTTGGCAAGCAACTTACTGATGCACATTACCGCCATCTACTGGAGTGAAGTGTACCCGAGGCTTTGCCGAACCTACCGAAGCCGTTCGAGTTGCGTTTGTGGTTCTGGGAATGTTGGGAGCGTGAAACTCTTTGTGTGTTTGTGTGTGTGTTAAAAGGATAAAACCAACTTAAAAAAAAACCCACTATCGTTATAAGATAAAAGTAAAGTTCCTTTTTTTGAAAGATTTCATTTTGGATTAGAGTCTAAGAAACTGGTTACATCAAGCATCAGCCAAATTAAGACCAGGTGACATGCGTCAACGAATTGCTCCCCATCTTTAAGGTTATATTGACAGGTGTCGTGACGTTATATGTATTTAAATTCGTTTAATTCAACACAATAAGGACCTTTTTATTCGTATTTTGGTTAAATATTTGACTGTAAACGTGAGGCTTTGTAGTTTCCCGTGGGCCATGAATGCATCAGGTGTGTCCAATGAAAAGCGTAAGTGGCGTCAGGAAATAAACTGTTGGGGTGATTCCTTCTGCTTAGGTGTAGACAAAGGAGTTGAATTTTGCATTTATGTTTCCATTTATCCCCCTTTTTTCGGTAAAAGTGGATCAAAGCGATTGAACTCCCGCGGGACCTGACAGGTTTATGGGACAAAACAGGTAAAGAGAAAAAATATATAAGAAAATCCCGTCTGGGTGCCGCTCCGCCTGATCTCCACCTGCATATACCAGAGAAAATGTAGTTTATGATTATTCATTGTTTCATAAATGACAACCATACGAGCTACATTATTGAATTTTAAGGAATCCTCGTTGGTTTAACGCACAGCTGCTTGACTTCTGTCACATATGCAGGAGTCAGACAATTTCATTCCTGTTGCATAGGGGCGGAGCTAGATGGGGGGCCAGGGGTGGCCATGACCACCCTTAGCTAATCATTGGCCACCCCTGTGGCCTCCCTTACCTTTTATTTCCCTCTAATACAGACGTTGGGAGCACTAATACTCTCCTGTGGAATATTTATTTTAATTTTTCATATGTAAGTGCAAATCATCTAGGAGTCTTAAGAGAAATCATAGATAAATAACTATTTTAATAAAACGTATTAAATTAGCAATTTATGTAGATATTAGTGCTTGTAAATATCAATTTTATACAGAATGATTATTGATAAAAATTAAGTAAGTGACATTGGAAAATAATTTCCCCCCCAGAACTCACACCTGAAAGAATTTTAATACCTTTTATCTAGAAAGCACTGATTGAAAATGGATATTTACAAAGACTAATATCTACATAAATTGATTATTTAATAAGTTTTTATTAAAATAGTTATTTATCTATGATTTCACTGAAGATTCCTAGATGACTTGTAGAGACACATAATTTTCTCTTTAGCCCATAAAACACTAAATCTAGTTCTGAAAAGAGCATGAATTCTGTACTTAGATTAGATTAAATTAGATTAGATGAGCTTTATTGATCTCACAGCGGAGAAATTCACTGGTCACATATTGGCATAGTAATTAAAGAAGGTGCAAACAAGGAGGAAAAGGTGCATTAGGAATAAAAATTAACTAAAAATAAATAAAAAAATAAACAATACAAGGGAGTAACACAGAGATTTGAGGTGACATATGTACAATCAAGATGGCTTATATACAGGTGGATTGAGTTTTACAGTGTAGTGGGTAAGGAACAACGGTGAACATCTTTGATGTTAGTATATTGATGTGTATAATTAACCACAAAAAAAAAATAATGTTTTGAATATTCCACTTGAAAGTATTACTGTTGCCACTGTCTTTATTAGAGGGACAAAATGGTAGGGGTGGCCAATGATTGGCTAAGGGTGGCCATGGCAACCCCTGGCCACCCGCCAGATCTGATTTGACAGCATATGAATGAGACTGAGCCATATGAAGGACCAACTCTGCCATATTTAAAAATAAATACAGAAATAAATAAATGCTCAATAAATGTATAAGCATACAATTAATTGCCAACAAAAAAGTGAGACATAAATGTATATAACTCTTAATTAGCTTCTTTATTTATTTGCCTTTGTAATATTTACCTTATTTATTTTTCTGTCCTTTATAATCTTCAACTTTATTTTTTAATTACTTATATTTTTAAGTATTTATTTATGTGCATGTTATAATATTTTTGTCTGTTTTATTCTTCCTCTGTATTTTTTTACCTTAGTTATTTCTTCGCCGCTGTTTATTTCTCTCTGCCCTTTTTACATTTCTGTATGCCCTTTTAACATTTCTCTATGCCCTTTTTACATTTCTGTATGCCCTTTTAACATTTCTCTCTGCCCTTTTTACATTTCTGTATGCCCTTTTAACATTTCTCTATGCCCTTTTTACATTTCTCTATGCATTTCTATCTCATTATGCAAATGAGGAGGGGTGTGTCCTAGAGAGTCAACTTCTGCTCATTGGTTGGCTTGGCGGCCCATCTACTCAACTCACAGAGCTCAGAGTACTAAGTTAAATGTTCTCTTTTCTGTTGATATTGTTCAATTAAAGTATGTTTTAAGATCATTTGAGGCGAGAACCTTATACTTTTAAGCATCACCATATGGCCCATTCACAGATTTAATGCGTAATTTAAAAGAAAATGTGACGAACTTGAGAGGACCGCGGCACCAGCGGAGCTCCGAAGCTGACGGCAGCCAGGTCTAACCACAGCCCATCTGCAGCGGCCCTCTCTCGGAATAGCCGTGTGTGAAGCGTGTTGGTTAGCATTTTACTACATCGGTCGAATCTACAGGAGGAGAGTCTGATGTCGAGTCTGAAGTCATTAGAACTTGAGTAGGGACTTTGCCAAACTTTGCCAAATACAACAAAAAATCGCCATCATAGCCTGGCTATAGACCTGGCTGCCGTCAGCTTCGGAGCTCCGCTGGTTGCCCCGGTCCTCTCAAGTTCGTCACATTTTCTTTTAAATTACGCATTAAATCTGTGAATGGGCCATATGGTGATGCTTAAAAGTATAAGGTTCTCGCCTCAAATGATCTTAAAACATACTTTAATTGAACAACAGCAACAGAAAAGAGAACATTTAACTTAGTACTCTGAGCTCTGTGAGTTAAGAAGATGGACAGCCAAGCCAACCAATGAGCAGAAGTTGACTCTCTAGGACACACCCCCTCCTCATTTGCATAATGAGGCATAAATGCATAGAGAAATGTAAAAAGGGCATAGAGAAATGTTAAAAGGGCATAGAGAAATGTAAAAAGGGCATAGAGAAATGTAAAAAGGGCAGAGAGAAATTTAAAAAGGGCAGAGAGAAATTTAAAAAGGGCAGAGAGAAATTTAAAAAGGGCAGAGAGAAATGTAAAAAGGGCAGAGAGAAATAAACAGCGGCGAAGAAATAACTAAGGTAAAAAAATACAAAGGAAGAATAAAACAGACAAAAATATAATAACATGCACATAAATAAATACTTAAAAATATAAGTAATTAAAAAATAAAGTTGAAGATTATAAAGGACAGAAAAATAAATAAGGTAAATATTACAAAGGCAAATAAATAAAGAAGCTAATTAAGAGTTATATACATTTATGTCTCACTTTTTTGTTGGCAATTAATTGTATGCTTATACATTTATTGAGCATTTATTTATTTCTGTATTTATTTTTAAATATGGCAGAGTTGGTCCTTCATAGAGCCATAGTGGAAGGAGGGTCTAGAAAGTTTTCTTTGTGTCAAAAGGTCACAGGAGTCCAAAATGACTTCACCTGTCCGTGTGATCGTTGTGGGGGCTGGTTGTCGAGGGGCGGGCTACGCCCAGTTTGCTACTATTCATCCTAAACGCATGAAGGTGAGGAGAGGTTCCCATTACTTTCACTAGATGTTTTGTTTGGGTGATTACAAAAACTAACTCCAAACAAAAAGGAAGGTTGATATAGAATTGTTACTTGTGTAAGTAACCTGCTTATACTAAATGCTTTTATAAAGATATCTATATTCATAACTAAAGATAATTATGAATTTTGTCCATGTTGAAATGCTTAGGTTGTTGCTGTAGCTGATCCCAGAAAGTTTGCACGCACCAAACTGCAAAAGCAACACAAAATTGAGGATCAAAACATATTTGAAGGTGAGAATTAATAAAAGCAAATTTAAGCTTGTTTTTTTTTATTTCTTTTATAAATCTGAACTTAACTGTTGTTTCTTTCTTTTAAATAGACTGGCAAAGCATAGCTGAACTTGAGAAGTTTGCAGATGCTGTGTTGATTTGCACCCCAGATCCCATTCATAAGGTCTACATATGTTTATGTCTGTTTATAGCAAAACATGTCTTCTATTGCATATTATTAAAAAACATTATGTTTCCTAGGATCCTGCAGTTGCTTTTGCAAAGAAGGGCTACCACATTCTTCTAGAAAAACCAATGGCAGTACGTGTTTTTCTGCCAATAAACCCCAAAAATAAAAATTGCACCTACTTTTATTTAAATTTATATATTTTTTTGTTTATTACAGTTTTTTTTGTAATGTAATAAATGTATGCTTTGATTCTACTTTTCTATGGCATTGCTGTCACTGCATAACTGAAGACATCAGCGGAGGAATGTAGAGCGATAGTGGAGGCCTGCACTCAGGCTGGTGTGATGCTCTCTGTGGGTCATGTTCTCCGATATGATCCACTTATTCATGAGATCAAGGTTTGTTAGCGGACGCATTTAATTGTATATGCATTGGTTTACATTTTTTACACAAGTTTTCTTAAAAAAGGCAGTAAATATATGACATATATGTAAAATATGTGGTGGAAATAGTTATATTATTTAGATTTTATTTTTTCAAAGTTTCATGCACTATGTATTACTAATGGAAGTTTAAGAGAGTTTTTGAACGACTCTGATCTATTTCTAGGTGCTCATAGATGCTGGAGCGATTGGCGATGTCCTCCATATACAGCACCTTGAGCCGGTAAATGCGATCAAATCAC